AAGATGGATAAAAAGGGAAGAGGGGTAAATTTGTAATTTTTTATTTTTTTATTAAGGCAAAATTGGTTGATGAGTTGGCAGTGAATTGGCACTAACGTGGCTTAAAAAAAAATTCCAAATCAACGTTCTTTAAAATCATTTTTACCACGTCATAAAAAAATTATAAAAAATACCACATAAGCGAGTTAACGGCCCGAATTAACAGAAGGACTAACGGTGTGCATTTCGTATAGTTAAGGGATCAAAAAAGTGCAAAAAATTGTTAAGGGACCAAAAATATGCAAATCACTAAAATTGAGGGACCAAATTTAGCATTTAACCATTTAAGAAATATTTTGCGGCTAGTCTTAATGCCATTTATGGTCCTTTGAAATTAATGCAATGCCATCCTATGCGTATCTAGTTATCCACAGGATAATAAATCAGTGGATTCTCATATTAAAAGAGATATGTTGAATGAAGAAAAAAAGAATCGTATCAACATTAATTAGCTGTGTATGTCATTTTTTCATAAAAAGATCTTTAGAGAATTTTTTTTAAATTTAAGTTGTAAAATAAAAATAATTTTATTTTATTAAAAACACTTAATTATATGTCATATAACTTGAATTTAAAATATTTTATTCATATTAAAAGAATATTATTATGTTTGACTTATTTAAGTTGTTAGTAATTTTTTAAAAACTTTTTGATGTTGAGTAAAAAAGATTTAAATTTATCTTCTTTTCAATCAAAAATAAATATCTTACAAATTAAGTTATAAGTTCAAATGGTTTTAGGTATAATAAGAAGACCTTAGTATAATAATATGAGTAAATTATATATATCATATTAAGTTCATATTTATGCTTCAATTAAAGGAAATATATTTACATTAAAATTAACAAAATTTATAAGAAATTATCTAATTAATAATTAAAAAAATTGAATTCCAATCAATAAAATAGAAAACAAACTCCTTTACTAACTAAATTAACATTGATAACATAAAAAATATATAGATAAGTATACAAAGTTAGTAGCTAAAATGAGTGAATAATTTCTTTTAAATAAAAATAATTTCCATTATAAAATATACAAGCTATTACTAGGTAAAGTATAAAAATGAGTGCA